CTCCCCCTTCTCCTCCTCCTACTCAATTTCTATCCAAATATTTCTTTTAAAACGGGAAAAACCAAAAACAAACGAGGAAAGTGGTAATGATGATGATAATAAATAAGTTAAGTATTAAGGGGTTAATATCGTATTTGATTTAACGCTTCGAAAAAGGGTTTATACATATGTATATATATTAATTTCTTTACATAAAGTTATTCCCAGTTTTTCCTCCATTTCCCTTCCCCCCATTTTTCCCGAATATTTTTTTTTTTTTAAGGGAATTTTTATTATATAATGTTTTGTTCAGAAACGAGGAGTCTCGATGATTTAAATGTAGGAAAACAAAAAAAGGAACGTTTTATGTTGTTGTCATATACGCTTATTTTTTTTTTTTTTTTAGTAACCGCACCCTCTTTTCCGGGGGAAGGAAAAGTACAAGGAAAATGACGGAAAGAATTATTATTATTATCATCATTATTTTTCCTTTAGTGGTTTATAAACTTTGACCTTTTAATAATTAAAAATGTGTTTTTTTAACTAACTAATAAAAATCCTTTTGTAAATGTTTCATCCCCCTCCCCGTTTGTATGTTTGGTTATTTATATTAATTTTTTGTTTTTTTGTGGGGGGGTGTGTAGGTTTCGCATTAAAATGTTACGTTTGTAATTCGAAAGAAGATTCGAGATGTTTGGATCCATTAGACGAAACAAACGGATTATCATTGGTCAATTGCACGAGTGACGAAGTTCAAAGGGCACAAACGAGGAAAGCCATCGAGGAAATATCGGAATTGATGACGAAATTGGGACAATCTCAAGCGATGACGTTTTCAACGAAAAAAGTATCGCAATTATGGGAAGATGAAAAATTTCCAATGGTTTGTCAAAAACTCGAACTCGAAGGTAAAAATCATTATTAATAATAATTTGGATGGGGTGGATGGGAGGGGAGTAGTTGGTAATTTTCCGAGTAAGTCGATATCGTTACAACCGCCATCACATTCTCATCGTTTGTCGATAATGAATGAAAAAATTTTTTTTTTCCCGACGGCGAAACGCACTAAAAATGGGGGGGGGGTTGACGATGGGGATCCCCCCCCATCGTACTAAATAAAACGTTTGTAGAAAACAAGATGGAAAATTGTTTAAAAGAAAACTTTTATAATTAATTAAAGGTTTTCCGTGACGGTGTTTTTGTTGATTGACTAAAAACTCTCGCGATATTTCGTCTCAATGTAATTGCAAACTTAAACAAATTCCCCCCTCCCTCCCTCCCTACAACCCTCCTACCCTCCAATGATGACCTTTTCACCCCTTTAATAAATTTTTTTTTTTTTTTTCTTGTTTTTGACAAATTTATTTATTTATTTTCATGACGCGTCGCGAGCATATATTTTTAACGGGAAAAAAAAATGGTGACGTCATAATGTCGGTCGCGATTTAACGACAAAATTTATTTTTGTTTTTTTTTTTTTTAAAACTTTTCTATTTTTTATTCATAAATTATTATTCGATTAATCCTTTTTTTTTCGATTACTCGTTTGATTCGATCGATCGATCGATCGATCGATTGATTGATTTATATTTAAAAACGGGTCCGTCGCAATTTCCCTC